GAGAGGGAAAGAGGGGGGGGGACTCCGATTTATTACATTTTATTTATCTATCTATTCATTCGTTCCCCATAAGCGTCTCTCAAGTAAGATGCCAATCTATCTGAGAGTACTACTTTATTTTTATATTTGTATGATTTGGGAATATAATACACGTCGCTTAATTTCTTTATTACCCAATACGCTTTCCCATTTACTTTGCAAATTTGGAGTTCTTCCTCTCTTTCTTCGAAGATTATACCGCCAGACTTTCTGGAGTTAAAATGATTGACGACAGTATCCACACGAAGCGGTATGGCTGAATCGACTGGTAATACTTGCAGAATTAGCGAGTGGTTAGTGGCACTCGCGATGAGACTAATAATAATATTCATGATACAATTATTAACGAAATTAGCGGCATTCATGACAGAACCGACGTGTTCGATAATATTTGCGAACAGAACTATCGCCAACGCGGGAGGATAGATTGTTATATTTGTAAATATTATTGGAGAAACTAGCTGATTCGTGAAGATCCCGCGCAGTCTATTCTGAAGTTGAAAAATCTCCGTCTCGCCACTGCAGCATCGCCGCGAACTCCTAGCTATCGAGGATGCTTCCTGTCTGTCACATGTCGTCGATGTCGGATCTTTCTCCGGATGAGCCTCTTTTTGCGTGAAGGTCGCAATGTGTCATGGTTACTCACTTGATTCGGCCTGCTCGTTCAATCCGTTCGCACTGATGAGAGTCTCCAAAATATTGTGCCTGTGTGGCCGATTCGCGAGATCGCTCTCGTGGACGCATTTGCGCACTTTCGAACCGCAGAAATAACATGAATGTAACGGAAAGAACAAGAAATGTTTATTAGCAGGAGAATGGAGAACACAGAATACAGCAAATAAATAGTAATGCAGATGGAGAGACGTTCGGACACGGCTCATATCCAAATCTGAAGATCTTATTAAAAAGTTGAGCTAATTGCTTTCTTCAATACGGATGTCGGCAAGGCACGAGTATAACAATACGTTACATATACTATAGTATTTCTTTAGTATGGTTCTACTTCGTATGATTCTTTTCAAGAATATATACGAAAAGAAAGGATTATAGGTAGATGCTAATATGTATTGTGACGTGACGTTTTTTATTCATCACTTTGTCACGGATAAGCCGAATGGATCCTAGGTCCTCCTGGCTCGTGAGGGTTGGCAATAAGCCCGTGGGCACTATCGTTATGCGCCATCTAAAATTTAATTTTATTTATTTTTTCTTCTGTTTTTTTTGCATTAATTTTCTGAAAATCGTTGCCAGGATAGGATCGGTAGCTGTGTGCATTGATTGTGTCGAAGCTGATCTCACCCGGTTGTCAGCAGGGAAGAGGACCGCCGAAGACTGTTACCGAGCAGGTTCCGGACTATGCGGAGAGATGTAGATTGTATCGATGTTTACTTATTTACACTAATACTTTTTAACAGACTACATCTATTATTTGTGCCGGTCCTATTTTACAGAGAAAACGGAGGATGCAGAGACGTCAGGATGAGATAGCTTTCCAAGAAGACAACCTGTTAGAACATTCGCTGAGAAGACTACGATGGATTCGGACTTGAACCAAATGAACTACCTAAAGCAGGAAGAGCTTCGTGCGAGACAAAAGAAGCCTTCTCCTGGGCGAGAAGATCTGGGCGAAATTCGGATTTCGCGCTAAGCTACGTCGCTGCTACGGGCCTACGCGATTCGCGGGGTTGCACGACGCCAATCAAGCGCCGGGAGGCCTCGCTCCCGAAAAGCAATGTGACCTGTGCATTCCTCGCCGCGGCCTGCCAAAATCATTTGCGTTGTGGCACGAACTTGATGAAGATTGTGAGAGGACGCAGGATCCATTGGAGGACAAAGAACGAGCTATCGATAATGAAAGTGAGCGGAAATAGAGAAAGGAGCTGAGAGAAGCTATCGAAGGGAGAAAGAGGAATCGCCGGTGAGACAAGTATAAATTCTGTAAAGCCGCCGATTCCCATAATCCGACAACGTGATCTCGAGCGAATAGCACGTGCCGAATTTGAGCCAAAAGGTTGAGACCCGTATAGAGAGCTACCGTGAGTAATTAATCTTTTAGTTGTCGCTTGCCGTTCGCTCGAGTCACAGATTTTTGTATTCAGTTTGCGTAAAGCTTACCGCCTTCTTACCACAGCGAATTCGTCGCATCTCGTTAATGTGATTGTATGTTAATTCGCCATCTTGTTCACATTATAGTCATCACATTGATTCACGTGTAGAGTAGAAAAAAATTGACATCGTAACGTGCGACGTCTGATGGAAAGCCGCGATTATTGCTGTAAACTTTGATTGACTGATGAATTTGTGATAACTTGCAACAATCACCTATTCACGTTCAGGTATTTTTTTGTGCTGCCTGCCCGATATAACGAGTTCATATTCGCACCGAGACAAAATTATTATACGATGAATTGCGTACTTGAATTCTTGTAATTGTTTCCATTACAAATATTAAATATATGTTTATCATTTTCTTACTATTAAAAGGAAATAATTCTTATTTCCTCGCCTTTCGATTTACTTCCGCTTCGAATCACCCATCCCCGCTGTCCGTGCGGGGCTGAGCAGTTGTTGTCCGTCACATTAAAAAAAATTGAAAATAATTATTCGAGATTTACATGGGCTTCTTTATTTCGTCGTTCAGTTTGTCCAATAACGCTGCATACTCTCACATAACTGTTTTTCCCTTCTGCAGGTAATTGATGAAGATTATGCCATGCGCATCCCAAAAAACGGAGGCCATAACTTTTCCGGCCGAGCGTTAGTTTTTTGGCCGCTTTGGTCGGCTTTCGTGGCTTTTCAGCCACTCTGTAGACTGCCTATTGGACTCAGGCGTATGGTAATGAACCCACGTTTCATCCATCGTCACAAAACGTCGAAAAAGTCCGCTCGATTACGCTGCAACAACGCCAAACCGGCCGTTGAATCATCAATGCGCTGCTGTTTTTGATTGACGGTCAGCAAACGCAGCACCCATCGCGCCGATAGCTTTTTCATCTCCAAAACATCGTGTAAAATGTATCCTGCCCGTTCTTTTGAGATGCCCACGGCCTCAGCTAATTCGCGCAACTTCACTTTACGATCACTCAAAACAATTTGATGCACTTGTTTTACGATTTCCGCATTCGTAGTCTCTTTTGACCTTCCAGAGCGAGGTGCGTCTTTGGTGTTTGTACGACCCATTTTAAATTCACTAAACTACCGATAAACTGTTGTTCCCGAAGGAGCACATTTAGGATAACATTTCTTTATTAAGGATAACATTATTATTAAGGATAACATTTCTGCAATCATTTCAATGATTATTCAAGTTTTTCCCATCAAAAAACAATGTTTGATCAAGATGCGATATTCCTGTTTTTCCATTTTTTTTACGAAGGCGAAAATAGCCATTTAAACGACTGTAACTTGTAAACGAATGAACGAAATGTCATGAAACTTCATACATAAATTAGTGACAGATGAACCTCTCGAAATGAATTATGTTCATTTTCTAGTGGCGCCACTTATTGTGAAAAATCCCGGGACTTTTTAGCCCATGTAGACGAAGAGTAACGAAGAACGGCACGCTCACTCGTGCCTGGCGCCAACTTAAGTCAAGAGAGAATTCGTGATAATTCAGTGAGTAGTTACCGACTTAGAGTATCAGAGTAAAATCATTGACTGTCGAATTGCAATCACAGAAAAGCGACAAAGTTGAGTCAGTCGAGACTATGGTCACAGTATGTAGCTGTGGTAGCTAAAATGCGTCTTCAAAATAGGGAACTAATATTGTTATTGCTCAAGCTAAATTTATTAATTATTTGTACTGTAATAATTTTTGTTGCTATATATGAAGATTAGCTGAATGCTATTGCTTTATCCTTTGCTGCAGAACTAAATAATTTTTATTGTGAGTGCTAAGATTCTTAATTGTGATTATATTCGCTGTTGACTTTAAATAATTTTTGCTGTTTAACTAAATTAGCGATATTATACTAGCTCCAAAATTTCATAGCCAAAATAAATAATTCATCAACCAACATTATTTCTAACATAATCATTCCAAATAATATCCAATGTCTACTACAATTAGGTAATAATTTCTCATTACTTTCTTACAGTATTAAAAAGAATTGCTTTAAGTTAATCAAGAACATAGAAAATAATGTTAAAAAATTAAACAATACTGCACTGTTAGAAGCATTTCGTGACATGTCTCTCATCTTTAGTATTTATGATCGTTTAAAGATCGTTTCAATATTTATCAAGAGATAATTCTCTCTATTTTTTCCTCCTTTGCGTTATGTGCGATCAAAGTGTGCAGCTGGTGAGTTTTTTTTAATTAATCATAATTAAGTTTTTCATTAATTTTTATTATTTTTTACCTAATGAAATTATATTGATATATCGCCAATTTTCACTTGATCAGTTTATTGATTAATCAGTTAATTGGCAATGATGCTTTTCAAAATTTGAAATTGAAGAGGCTTTTCCGGCTACTCTTTTGGATCGTTAAGATGCTCATTGTTTGACATCGTTGATAATGATTTGAATGAAATTAAATCTTTTTAGAATATACTTTTGTTAATTATATCTAAGAATTGCGCTTATTTCTAGCTCTCAATCTAGTCCATCAATTTATTATTATATTTACTATTGTTATTAAATATCTCGAGAGCTCAATTCAATATTATAAATTTATATTTATATATTTTATTCATAAGATTATTGTTATGTTTGTTAAACTGACTTAATTTTTGTTTTATTTTTACTTTAACTTTAAATTTATTTTATTTTAATTCAATGTTATATTGATCTACACATTAGTTTATAATTTTAAACATTACGTAGACACGATCGAAGACACACGTCTAATCGATAAATTTTATATAATTTGTATTCTTAATTGTGCGTAACAGGATGGAGGTGCAAGTTATTAGTACAACTGGTGAGATTTTTTTAATGGAATATAGAAAGCTGTTAATATAGAATGGAATTTTATATTTAAATCTTACAAATCTTGACTGTTAAGAAAAGCCGTTCACATGATTAAATGGAGAATTACTCTAGGTTGACTAATTGCGCCTACATTCAGAATAATTGCATTTAAATTTTGGATTAGTAAATCTAATGTTATATCATGAAGATGAAAAAAACAGCAAATGACAAATGTCGGAAATATCTACAGATATATGAAGAATAAAGAAGAATAAAGAAGAACGTACATTAATAACTAGCTCTTAGTTTCTTATTGTTTTTGTAATATTGTTTTTAACTCTGTTAGTTCTAATTCTATTAATTTTTAATATAATGTAAAATAACTATGTATATTAGAACGAATAGTATACTAATTTTTCAATAGTTTTTTCGCGAGTTCAATAATATTTTTTCGTAAGGACGATGCAATAAATTGAAGTGAAAGAAATATAAATTTATTTCATTTCAACTTGTTGTATTAAGTACAGTTCAGAAAATGCAAGAATAAAAAACAGATTTATAGTAACTGTGTTCTGACATTGTCATCAGAAATTGTAGAATTGGCATATCGAGAAGTGAGTACGCTTCACTGAAATTACAATACGATTCCGAATATTTTACATTTCACAGATTAGGACAGTTAACATGAGATGCGCATAATGTATGGTATTAAAACGCATTTCGGATAAAGTTTTTGCTATAGAAGTCGACGGCAGATGTATCAACGTTACTATCGATAGACTTAAGCCCGCTTATTTAATAATTCAAGACTCAGAAACTACTTCGTCCACTACGTCTCCGTCTTCAACTATAATAACATTCCAGTATAATGTGAACCAAAGACTGGTCCAGCAACCAAGCGAAAGACTATTAGATTTAAGGATTAATTCGCGCGATATTTCATTAAGCGATTAATAAGCATAAGTTTCTGTTTGTTTCATTTAATTTTATTTTCGGTTATTTTCGCTCTAGCGATAATTTAATCAGTATTTTTTTCCTTAACGTTTACACTGGGAGTATTATGGCGTTGCAAGCGTTAATTGCAGCGCTCGAGTCAGTTTTTTTTTTTCGGTTTTCCTTTCATTCTCTGTGTGTTGGTGTGGATCTTTTGTAAGCCTCAGCGATAGATTTTAGTTAGCGCTCGGTAAGATTAATAATCATCCTATATTCACTGCGAGATTGACATCGGTTATGTCATTAAGTAATTGCTCGCGTCGTCAGATAAATGCTTATATTGTAGATTTTCTTAGTTTCTCGTATTCTAACCTAGTAATGCGATACCGATATCCGAGCCGCTATGCGCACGCAATCACGTCTCTATTTTTGTAATCTGTACGTTTTAAATCATTTGAGTTTGTATCAAACCGCCTTATGGCATATGAATCAAAATCAATGAGTAACATTTATTTGCAAACTTAACGATTTCCCACCAATTGTCCTTCGCCATTAGTTAATCATCGCCGGCGCCCAGACACGCTCGGCGCCACATTGGACACAGCAGCCACAACGTAGCCATAAGATTAGAATAGATGTATGCATATTTGAATGAAACAAAACGATAATGTAAAAAATTAAAGATGTTATCGATTTTTTAAATTGGAATTTAAAAAATTCAAGTTATCGATCAAGTTTAGCCATCATTCTAGCATTCCCTTAAGGCAGCATCAGAAATTCTTTTTACTGGAAAATAGTTACAGTTTAGAACTTGAACAAAAGATTAAAACTTTTAACGTCTATTGTAGATTAAGAGTTTTCCTGAAAAATATTGCATGCGAAAATGCTGTAGTGTATATTACGTATATTATAGGTTTCTGTAACAATTTTATATGAGATATTTTTTTAAAAATAAGGCCCTAGGTCTTAAACGAAACATTTATCGTTATTATCTTAATTTGGGAATAGTCGTTTATTGGGTCATTGATTTTTATAGCCTGAAGTGTAAAATAAATTGTAATATTATATTTAAAAAAATATTTGAGATTAATAATAATAAATTCGATCTCAATGACTGGACATGTATCTTTCAAGTTCGGATATTTACACAAAATT